AGGTCCCTCCTTTTAGTGTGTAAATCAATTTTAATTTTAGCAATTTTTTAGTATAAAAAAAGTCTTCCGATTTTTAAAAAACATTGTATGCGGTCTTTGAATTGACACGAACATGTAAGAGTTGGGTAATTAGTGTGTTTATTACCCATTTTACACCCATCCATTCTTTCAACCTTGTATACAGTTGGTTTCTTTTGCTTTTGTTTTTTTTTATTTGGCGTTTGGTATTGAATATTTTTTAGATTCTATCTATATTTTTTGAATCTTAAATTCAATAACCCAACAGTTTGGAGTGTACTCGGTTGCATATCGTTGATTTGGTAGGTACAAAATTAGATACACAATTAATTTAGACATTATGATGAGGTCTGACAATCTGTGTTTTAGTATACATATTTGACAATATGTGTTTATGGAGAATAAGATACATTAATAATTTGGGTTTTAGTAAACTTATGTGACGATCTGTGTTTTAGTATACTTCTATGCCGATATGTGTTTTAGTGCAATTGTCTAACGAACTGTGTTTTAATATATCAGTCTAACGATTATTGCGTACTAGTTTTTTAACACGAACACGAACTGTTTAATAAACATATAACACGACACGACTCCTTTAACCTGTTTAAAAAAAATAATAAAAAAATATTATTTTAACAAATTTTTATACCCTATTTCTTTGTTTCCAATTGTACTTTCCTCATTTAGAGGAGTTCCAACCACCAGCTCCCGTGAAATCACACCACATAGGATAGCAAAAGTAATAAGCCACCGTCTTTTTTATAGGCAACTGAAGTCCCCCTCTCCCTCCACCCCTCCTCCTCCTCCTCCTCCTCCTCCTCCTACTCCTATTCCCTCTTTGTCTCAATGTGGGATTAAAAAAAAGGGTCAAAAAAGCTGTTCTTACTTTTTTTTTTTTTTGAATGTTTTCTTTACTCATTTACTATTTTATATATATATATATATATATATATATAATTTATTATTATATTAAATTTATTTAAACGGGTAAACGGATTGACAGGTCTAACCCGAACACGACCCGTTTATTAAACGTGTCTGGTGTGTCAACCCGTTTACTATCCAAACCCGTTAAGGTCTCACCCAAATCCCTTTAATTCGTGTCGATTAATCGTGTTGTGTCGAATTTTGACAGGCCTACCGTTAGCACCCTCACATGAGGGAGAGCTTAGTTGCTTTAAGACAGTGATTACACGTCTCTTAGACTTAGAGGTCAGCTCATTTTATCGGATTCAAATTGTTATATATTTATTTGTTATATTTCTGCCTTAAATTTTGTTTTGAAGTACTTGTCAACTTATTATTTTTGCTACCGTTTATATTGCAGAATGGTGTTACAACAACTATTGTTCACTTATACCAACTGTTCATTGTGATATAGCATGTATTCTATTCTGTTATCTTCATTTATTGCTTGCTCAAAATTGTAAAAATTCCATAACAGCTCCTTATCCTTTTTGCTGTTTTAATTTGTTACTTGACATCTACCTGTTCTAGAGTTTCTTGTTTAATCATCAGAACTTCACACAAGTTCAGTGATGAGTATATACATACACAAGAGTGCGAGGTTGAGAAGGGTTATACATGGGTTAATTTAAGAGATCGAGTTTTGGGATACAAAGTTGAGCGATTAGCTTGCATGTATTGATATTTTCAATTTCTATCATAGTCGATTAAGTTACACCCCCTGGACGGAAGCAAGGTTTTTTGTCGAACCACATAAGTGTGCTTTAGAGGCCATCACTTCTTTTCAGAGAAGTCATGGGATTTTCTATAAGATAAATGATAACTCCTCGAGTTTAAAAGTTTGAGATTTAGGCGGTATGAGTTAGAGGTTTGAATTGTATTTGGATTGAACATTTTCAAATTTGGGTTAATCTTTTAATTTGCACGGTTCGTCGGAGTTGCATCCAAACTCAGTAAAGTTTGATTCAAACTCATTAATTTCATGTAGGATTTGTTGGTGGTTTTTAGAATTGTTAGACTTGCTCACCAACTTTTCTAGAGCCCATTACTGGTGAGTATGCCTCACAAATATAAATATGGTGCGAAAATTCAACAAAAAATTAGATTGAGATTTAGTTTTAAGGACTCGGGTGTGGCAAAAGGGTGGACATGTTGGACCTGCGAATAATGGGCCGACATGAGCTAGGCAAACAAGATACAAATCTAGCGTAATACGGTTTATAAATTACACAAATCGATACGATACGAATCTAATTATACATAATTATAAACGGATCAAATATGAGTTGAATAAATTTTGTCCGTTTGATTGCAACTAATCATGAAGGAAGAATGTGTTGATTGTGTCTTCTTTCTTCTCCAAAACGTCACCATCAGGTACCAGAAAAAGAGAGGATCAAAAGAATGGAAAAAGATCAATGCATTGCAGAAGCAAAGGAAAACCCCCATATTCCATTGGTAGATTCAATTGAGAATGATATACTTGACTTACCTTCTTTATCCCCTGAATGTTGTATTTATAGAGTTCCAATACGAATTCGAGAACGAAATCCAAAAGCTTATACACCCCGGATGGTTTCAATCGGCCCTCTACACCATGGAGAAAAGGAGTTGCTAGGCATGGAAGAGTTCAAATTAAGGTGCTTGAAAGCATTCCGCGATCGTACTTCCATCAGTTTGGATGAGTGTCTAAGCATGATAAAAAAGCAGGAACAGGGAGTTCGCAATTATTATGAAGAAAGATTTGATAAGCTTAATAGTGATAGCTTTGTGAAAATGATCCTTCTGGATTGTTGTTTCATCATTGAGGTGTTTTTGCATATTGGATATGCAAATGGTCATGTGCCAGAACTAGAAGGCACATTATTACTTGACCAACAAAGTGAAGGACGGGTGATTTCTCAAGTGTTATCAGACATAATATTACTTGAAAATCAGCTTCCATTCTTTATAATAGAGGGTCTATTCAACATAGCATTCCATTCAAACCCAGACCACCACCTGCCCTCTTTCCTCCAGCTTTCCTTATTTTGCATCCGAACCTTCGTTCCAATCGAGGACATTGCACTGGATATATCAAATACTCAAGTGAAGCATTTTGTTAATTTGCTAAGGGTATGGTTCTTACCGTCAAGACCGCGGACACTGAGGCCAACGGAAAGGGAAGAAGATGATATGCCACAGGCAACGGAGATGCAAGAGGCAGGAATGATTGTGAGGGCATCATCGTCAAGACATCGGTTACTTGACATTACATATACAAATGGAGTGTTACAAGTCCCTAAATTATTTGTAGACCGCCGGACAGAAGAATTATTTAGAAACCTTGTTGCTTTGGAGGTATGTCATTATTTCCCCAATACTTACATAGTTGATTATGTTTATTTCATGGATAGGCTTATTGACTCTGCTCAAGATGTGGAGTTACTCATCAAGAGTGGAGCTATTTTTAGCTTGTTAGACGACAGCTCTGAAGTGGCGACTCTCTTCAATAACCTTTGCGCTGGTGCTGCACGTGGATCATTCTATTATCGTGACATATGTGAGGACGTGACTAAATATTGCAATGTGCCACGACACAAATGGAAGGCAACTCTGAAACGTGATTATTTTAGTACTCCTTGGAGAACTGCTTCTACTATTGCTGCAGTTATATTGCTTGTGCTTACCTTTATTCAAACCATCAAGGCTTTTTTCTGAACAGAAAAGAAAAACATCAAGACTTTTTAATTCTCCAATGAGAAGTTATACTTGTTAGCAAGTTTCTATCTAAATACTCTGTACTCATCGTATTTGTACTTTTGAACATTCAATAGGTATCATGGTTTGAAGCTTCAATTACCTGTTGTCATATGATTTACTTAAATTAATGTCTTTAACTGGAAAGGTGAAGAAAAGGAAGCAATGCCAAGTAAATTAGAGATCTTCTTGCTGGTCAGGTTCGAAGGATTATGGCCGGAATCCAAATTATTCAACTTTTGATGGAATATGTATATCGGGTGTATATATATAGTAGCGCGGTAATAGAAACTATGCCCCACAATCTACGGTGGGCACTTTTCACGTGAATAGTTAGATCGCAATCTAAGGGTCACTAACTCGTCACGGAAACTATACACTAAGCCGTCATAGAAACTATGCATTGTATAATTTGATAAGATCTTAGAGAAGGGCACCGACCCAACTACAACCAATGAATGCTCATTTGTACAAACCACGGTGGATCTGGGAAAAGAAACCGAAGAACGTCAGCTGGCTACTGAGGATCTCCGCCAAAAGGATACCCTCGATCAAAATAACCAATCTCCTATTTCCAACCCAAATGACTATATTTCTTCAAAGCTTAATCACCCCTTTGACCCCAGCCAACCTAAACCACAAGACCAAAGTAACCCCAACCCAAGACCCACTTGGAGCCAAATCGTGAAATCCGGAAATGTTCAAGGAACTACAGTTTAAACTTAGGTGATGAAACTCAAGTACTATGAGCCTAGAAGGGAAAAGGAAAGGGTGGTTGTTCAACCCCCTAGGAGGTAGGAGAAAAGGGTACTCTAGAATGACAACATTGTCTGGTTGGATATTTCATCGAAAGGAAACTTCTCTACTCCTTTGTTAATTTTATTGCTCACAGAAATTGGGACAAGCTGGGGCTTCTTGAAGTTCTAGCATATGACAGGGGGCTTTATTTCTTCAAGTTCACGAGCGAAGAAACAAAAAACTCTGTGTTTAAAGCTGGGCCTTGGTTATTCTATGGAAGACCTTTGACTTTGAAAAACTGGCATCCAGAGCTTACCCTCTCCAAAGAGGACCACTCCTCTATTCCCCTATGGATTAAGCTTTTCAATGTTCTATTACAATTTTGGACTGATGAGGGTTTAAGCCACATATCCAGCGCAGTTGCGCACCCTATTCATGCTGACTCTCTCACTTCCTCCAAACGTAGATTGCACTTTGCTAGAATTTGTGTGGAAGTTAGTGCAAACTCCCAGCTCATTGATTCTTTCGACCTTCAAATGGAGATCAATGACAATATTGAAAAGGTTGAAATTGTTGTTGAATACCAATGGAGGCCAAAAACTTGCCACTCGTGCAAGGTCTTTGGGCACTCCGACTCCAATTGTCCCAAGTTGGCTATTGCTTCCGCTTGGAAACCTAAAAACCTCCCAAAAAAGCCTGAAGATTCCAGAAGTGAGAAGGGGAAATCCTTTATTTCCACAGTGGAGTTTGTTTCTCTTGATCTACCTACAATTTGTGCTGTTCTAGATGCCAATCCCATAACCTTTGTACAATCTCAAGAGCAACATATCACTCAAAATCCCCCAGACGCTTTGCTTCCACCCCAAAATCAACAAGATTCCCAGGTAAACTCTATACTTGAAACTTCTTGCTTGCTTCCAACTCAACCGTCACGCCAGTCTCCAAATAGATTTGAAAGCCTTCAAGTTCAAGAAGGCCAACTAGTAATTGATATTAGCCCTACAACTAGTAAGCAGTCCATTGAACCCCATCAATCAAATACAAAAGGAAATGTTATTAAGAAGAAGAAGGCTAATAAAAAGCCTCCTTCTACAAGGAGGTTGAGGATGTTTTGGGCTTTTGAATCTCAGTTTTTTTTTTGTTTCCTTATGTTTAACATTGTTGTTTGGAATATTAGGGGACTAAATGACCCCTTAAAGCAAGTTGAAGTGAAAAAGCTCATTTTTGAAAACCATCTAAACATGTTGGGCATTGTTCAGACCAGAGTTAGAAATATTAATAAAGAAGCCATTAGAAGAAATGTTTTCACTAATTGGGCCTTTTTTGCAAACTATGATTGCCACCCTCTTGGTAGGATCTGAGTTGGATGGAATAATGCTACATTAACTGTCAATATTGTTTCCCACAAGGACCAAGTGATTCACTGTGAGGTGGTCCACAATGATAGTAGGACAAGAGTTATTGTCTCTTTCATTTATGGTGCTAATGATGACTATAAGAGAAGAAGACTTTGGAGTGATCTAAGATTCCATTCTAGTTCTTTTAGCTCCCTTCCTTGGTTGCTCGTTGGTGATTTCAATGCCTTGAGAAGTATCCAGGAACATCAAGGACACGACATTAGATGGAATCAATCTATTAAGGACTTTAATGACTTGGTGAGCGATGTTGAGCTTCTAGAATTGAGGTTTTCTGGAATCCTCTATACTTGGTCTAACAAAAGAGACAAAGAAGATTTCATTGCTAGAAAGCTTGACAGGGCCTTGGGTAATGATGCTTGGATTCACAATATGGAAAAAACAGTGGTTGAGTTCCTCCCCCCAAGATTTTCTGACCACACTCCTGTTTTTATAAAAATTGGAAACCCCACAAAAAGAAGAACAACCCTTTTAAATTCTTCAATTTCCTGGCAGAAAGAGAAGATTTTATTCCTACTATTGCTTCTATATGGAGTGTAAATTTGCAGGGATCTTATCAATACAAAGTAAGCAACAAACTAAGGTTGCTCAAATCTGCCTTCAAAGCCAAAGGCAAAGAAATTGGGGATTTGTCCAGCCTAGTGAAAGAAAAGAAAGCTGCACTTGATCATTGCTAGAGGAAGCTTGACATGAATCCTTTAGACTTCCTCACAAGGCAAGAGGAAAAAGCTTTTCTTGCAAAAAATGCCCAAGCAGCCAGAAATGAAGAATCCATCCTCAAGCAAAAATCTAGAGTCCTATGGCTCAAAGAGGGGGAACACAATTTAGCCTTTTTCTTCAAAACTATGACCAGTAGAAGGAATAGGAAAAGAATTTTGTGACTTCATACTTTTAATGGCTCCACAGTTGAAGGGGAAGAAGCTGTGGGCAACGAGGCTATCAAATTCTATAAGAATCTTTTGGGGAAAACTAGAGGCACCATTCCCATTCAAGAAAGGAAATCCTTCTTTGAAATTCTAGATCTTGACAAGCTTACTGACCTTCAAGGGATTCATTTGGTTAGGGATATTGAATTTGTCGAAATCAAAGAGGTCTTCTTTTTCTTCAATGACATGAAAGCCCCTGGTCCAGATGGTTTTAATGCTTATTTCTTTAAGAAGGCTTGGCCCATCATTGGAGATGAAATCACTGAAACTGTCAAGGAATTCTTCATACATGGTAAACTCCTTAGGGAACTTAATTCCACCATTCTTGCTCTTGTCCCTAAGATTCCAAACCCCACATCTATGGGAAATTTTAGGCCAATTTCTTGTTGCAACTTGCTCTACAAAGCTATCTCCAAAATCATGGCCAATAGAGTTAGAGAAATCCTTCCAGAGATTATCAGCCACAACCAAACCACTTTCATTCATGGGAGGAAAATTGGGGATAACATCATGCTTGCTTAGGAACTCCTCAAAAACTACCACAAAAATGATGGGGGCCCTAGGTGTGCAATCAAGGTCGACATCATGATGACCTTTGATTCTTTGGACTAGGGCTTTTTGCTTGATGCCCTTGAATTCCCTGAAAAGCTAAGAAAATAGATTCATTTTTGCATTTCCCCCTCTTTATCTATCAGTATTAATGGTGGTATTGTAGGTAATTTCCCAAGCTGCAGAGGTCTTAGGCAGGGTGATTCTCTTTCACCTTACCTCTTTGTCATTGCCATGACGATTCTCAATGCAATTATGCAACAAGAAACATGCTCTAACCCTAAATTCAAATTTCATGGAGATGCAAGAAATTGAAGCGAATTCAACTTTCCTTTGCTGATGACCTCCTTCTCCTCTACAAAGGTTGTTTTCATTATGTCAAAATTCTTAAGGAAGATTTTGATCTTTTTCAGAAAATATCAGGTCTCCAAGCTAACCCCTCTAAAAGTGAGATCTTCATGACAACCATTCCCCAAGATACTAGGTTTCATATTATTCAGCTATTGGGCTTCTCTGAAGGCTAACTCCTGGTTAGATATCTTGGAGTTCCTCTTGTCTCAACCAAACTCAAAGCTACTCACTGCTCCCCATTGATCGAGAAGACTGTTGCAAAGGTTAAGTGCTGGATCAATAAGTCCCTTTCTTTTATAGGAAGACTTTAGTTGATTCAGTTTGTCCTTTCTAGCATCCAAATCTTATGGGCTTCCAACCTTTTTATTCCACAACAAGTCCTTGATTCCATTGAAAAAATTTTGAGGCCTTTTTTATGGAAAGGTACTGATTTGAAATCTACTGGGGCCAAGATTGCATGAGATGATGTTTGTAAGCCTAAGAATGAAGCGGGCTTGGGAATCAAGAAACTTAAGGACTTGAATTCTGGCCTTATGTGCAAATACATTTGGCTCCTCTTTATCGATAATCAAAGTCTCTAGGTCAAGTGGATTCATTCATATCATCTCAAAGGAGGAAGAAAAAACATTTGGGAGGTAAAGCCTCCCCAAACATACTCATGGAACTGGCTTAACTTACTTAAGCTAAGAGATACTCTTAGACCCCACATCTACCATGTTATTGGGAATGGAGCATACATTCACTTGTGGTTTGACAATTGGCACTCCCAAGGATCTCTTCATTCCATATGTAATGCTAATGTTGTGGAGGATTTTGTCACTCTTCATCTGAGTCACATACCCACCTTTTCTTTGAATGCTTTTTCTCTCATTCTATCTGGGCCCAGTTGCTATTCCTTAGTGGGCTGCAAATGCAAAGCATGTCATGGTAGGGGATCATCAACTATGCAAGCCAACATTGGAAAGGTAATTCTATGTGCACCACCCTCCTAAAGCTCAGCCTTGCTGTATCAATCTATTACATTTGGTTGGAAATAAACATTAGAATTCACCAAGGCAAGTCTAGGGACCACTCCTCCCTCCTCAGCCTCATTGTCTAAACCATTAAAGAAAAAGCTGCTTCTCTCAGATTCAAGCCCACCAACAGAAACCTGTGTCTCACTCAATCGTGGTAGATCCCCAATAGTTGTTTGGGCTAATCTCTTCACTAGTGCATTTTGTTGGAAGTCTGGACAACCATCCTCACTTTCCCCAGAATTCAATAGTTTGGCTCTTAAATAGATTATTCCTATTGTTTGTAAGGAATTCTTCTTGTTGTTAAATAGGTGATTCCTATTGTTAGTAAGGAAATTCACCCTGCAGTATCTTGTCCTTTTTGTATAAATAGAATCAATTTACTTTCCCCCAAAAAAGAAAAAAAAAGATTTTTTATGTGAGCCAATAAATTATGATCTAATGGTCACCACTTAAAAACGCTTGGAACTAAATGGTAAAACTTACCAAATTTGTTTATTGACTAAACAGGAAATTTGAAATTCATGTTAATGGTAATTCTAATCTTATTTGGAAAGTACATTAAAATTTTTTAATTAATCATTTAAAATTAAGATTTTTTTTTACTCTTTTCAAATATCGGGAAATAGATCAAACTAGTGATTCGAACCAATTTATTGAGACTCACTATCTATTCATTGGTTATGATTGATCAAGTTAGCATTTTAAGTCCATACAACATTTTTCTTTATTTATACTTGAGGATTATCAACTAGTCGTTACCAATCACCAGATTAATCTTAATGACCACCAATATTTCCTCAACTCTTTGCCATTAAAGTAGGCTAAAATGCTCCAAGTATGATTTAACTATCTTGACCTAGATTTTCATTATTTGATGGTCCCTCTAGCAAAGTCACTTATGCTGATTAGAATATATGAATGTATGCATTATTAAAAAATAATAGTTAATACATAATAATTTTATAAAAAATGCATCTATAATATATAATATATCACATATGACATAATTTTTCCCCTTGTATAGTGAATACATTGACCTATTGAAGGTCAATATTTTTAACAGCCTGGAAAAGGAAATTTCACAAAATCTATACACCCTTTATATGCCTTAATGCACCAAGAATCATTTTGGTTCAATGATTTGAGATATTTGATTTCATATATTTCTAATTAGTAACAACTTTAAGGACAAAATTGTGGTGACAAGTTAGAACATTTTTTGTTGCTTTCGCAAAATTTGAAAAGGATTTAACAAAAAAATTGCTTGTTCAATTCCTCGGGCACAAAAAAGATGATAAGGTAAAAAGTTTCAGTCTATGAGAAGGATTGTATAACCCTATAGGTTATAGGAATGTACAACAGTAATTTCATATAAATAATGTCAAAGAATATGTACATATCTAATTTGTCCCTCCTAATATCCTTGATTTAGGAAAATTAATGTAAATGAAAAATCTCCAAAAAAAAAAAGGAACATAGAACGACTTCTATCCATTTATTGTGAATTTGGTTAAATAACTTACATTCACACAAAATTAAGAAATGTTATTGCTCCCAGAAATAAAATTTGTGGTGTTGTACACTTATACAACATATAATTTATTGTACTGAAAGAGAATTGGGTCGA